AAACTTTAATCAAAGCGAAAATGATAAAAGTTTTCTTGCAATTCTCGTGTGTTTAGCACCTTCCCTCGTTCGAAAAGTGTAAGCGCCATGTTGAAAAATTCTGCTGTGTAACTAAACTACCATGATGCTTAGCAATTCCGCAATTGGCCCATTATCGATACTAATTTTCTTTGCGTTTCCTCGACGAAAACCCGGTATGATTTTGCTCATCGGAAAAAGCTCGGTATTTGTCGTATTTTACGAACCTGCCACGTGACTGGTACGCTCACCGCTCACTCACCGACCACGACACGAAATTTAGAGCTATATGAAAGTTGCATGCCATATATGGCATGCAACAAAAACTAAGGGCCCCCGACAGTTAGGGGCCCCCATCAGCCACGGCCTATCGCCCGGAAAATTAGAAAACGTAAAAATTGCAGGCTAAGAATCAATGGGAAAATGCAAAATTAATAAGCTAAATAAAATGCTAAATAATAAAGCCTCCATCGACTACGGTAGCTGATTTTTTCATTCCATCTCAAAAATAAAACAAAAGTTATTCTTATTAATAAGTCGTTACATGTGTTGGAGACTGTTACCTTTATAGACACGGAATTTTCCAGAACATTCTATAAATATTCAATATAAAAATAATATCTCAGTCAAACAATGACAACAGTCCACAGGGGCCCTCACACCAAATATGCCTAAGGGCCCCCTCTTCCTCCGTTACGTCACTGACTAAATTATAATTAATATATATTCTTTACAAGATTCTGTATTGTGCAAACTAAGATATTATCACTAACACTAACTTAATAATAAAGCTAAAATTATTAAACTCCTTTTAGCCTAAATTTTCACTTTATAGTTCGAAGTAAGTGTATACTCGAAAAACAAAAATAGCGACATTTGTGTTTTCAAAGACAGTGCACACGCATTCAATATTGATTTTTGAGTTTGTTTTGCCAAAAAGAAGTTTAAAAAAGCGATAGTGGAACTCATTAGTCTATTCTTGTTCAAAATATGTAACCTTAAAATCCCAAACTCTTTTAAAACTGTAGTTACAGGGTTCGGATTTAGAACGACAAAAATTGACATCTTTTCGTACTCGCGCAAGGTGAGCTGTTAAAAAATATATTTATTACAAAATTTGTATATCGCAGGGATTTGTGAACGTCCTAGTGGAATCAACATTACATATGAGAGTATAACTATATGCCTTAGCAGACAAGTGACAGCTTTGTCGCCAAGTTCCAGGGTTCGAAATACAACCACACAGGGAGAGATGTAATATACGTGCGTAATTGTTTTGTCAACGTTGTGAAAAACCGAAGTTATAATGATTGTTTTTATAGGGAAAATTAAAAATATACACGTACTCACCTTGGCATATATTCTCTGCTTTTGGTACCGCCAAAAAATATCTTTTACCTTTGCGTTTGTTAAAAAAAAGGGAAAAAATATATGCAAAATCTACATTTTTTAAACTTTTTTACAGGCCAGTTGCCACGGCAACTGATGAATTGATACGTGCTAGCCCGTATCACGGATGCCACGTTCGTTTTGCCAGGCGTTTCCAGTCCATTCCTTTGATTGTCTATGATCAGACTTGTTAGAACAACCTTGTAACAAGTCTGATAATGCCATCAAGCTTGTTACAAGTTGTTAACAGAGCCTGTTCCAAACTTGTTCCAACAACTGGGAACAAGCAGTGCGAATACAAGTTGTTGAAAACTTGTGAACAGAGTTGCAACAACTTATTTGCAGACCTGTAACAACTTGTGCGTTTTTACGGCGTGTGTAGATTATGATGAACTAACCTGAGGGTTGCTTCGCCTGCGTTTCGCTTTCCCTTTAAACGCGGCTGGTTCGTCTTCAGGTTGTCTCTTGCCAGGGAGATCATCAGGAGAGTTATAGATGTTGCCGCAATGACGACAGCGACAATCACTCGTGCAGCCGACGTTGTCTCGTAAACACGGACACTTGGATTTACGACTGTCTTTGTCTTTACACGAGACGAACTCACCATCGCTTTCCTGCAACAAATTTATCAAGACAAGAAATTATTCAAAGTGATTTTACTTGAGAAAATCGAGGAAAAGTTCATGGATAATTTTGTATATGGTGGATACAACAGCTCACGTTAAACATTGATATACTTTGAATTATCTTCATGAATTATTAAGAGAATATTTTTTGTATTACAAAATTCTTATACTACAATAGTTTTACAAAATTACTATATAGTGTATTGCCGCACAAACACGCCTTTCTATTTTTTCGGTAATCGTTCCATGTTTCGCGCACCAATATAGTATACGTTATGTAATGGATATTATAGTGTACTGCAAAGTCAACTGGATACCTCCACATACATATATACACACCCTAACCTTAAACCCTAACGTATATTGGTGCGCGAAACATGGAACGATAACCTGTTTTTCCTCCTCCACGAATAATATAAATCGGTTGCGTAAACTCCGTACCACCAAAATGAGGTGGTTTTGGGAATTTAAAAAATTGTTTATTATAGATTTTATAACTCACATGTTATCTCCACGAATAATATAATTAAAGCCCTAAAACAACTTGTTCCACACCACTCGTTGAAGAAAACACTCGTTCATTGATTGTTTGGTCAAAACCTCTTAACTGAAACTCTTCAATCTCATCAAAATAAGAAAAGAATCATATTTAAGCTAAGAAACAAAGTTGCACATTAAAAATAGGGTAAGAAATTTTGAAGCCAAATCCCCGACTGAAAAGTTTTATTTTGCACAGGAAATATTCTTCCTTGGAAAAAATATGGAAAAATGTCAGATATTTTCACAGAAAGTTTATGCCAGACCAAGGGCGGATCCTGCAGTCAGAAAGTGTTTTTGTCTAACAGGAAAATCAGAAACCTGCTTGGTTCTAGAGCTGCGCGCCGGAGTTGGAAAATTCCGGCAAAAACAACTGCAGACAAAATTATGAAAAATTATTTCATATTACAATGAACTTTTGGTAATGGAAAAATTAAGTTGAATGATTTGAAGTTACTATAAAGTTTAATTACTTGCTCCGATCCGAGGCTTAGAAAATTCTGCAAGCGCATTGCTATCAATTGCTATCGCTTAATCTATCGCTTTTGATACAAAAATCCGCTGATCCCGATGTATTTTGTCAAAGTACACGGGTAAAATTGATCAGGTTGTTCGGCGTTGTTCAAACAGTAGCGAACAATGTTGTGCTGCACCCCGTGAACAATATTGTTAACAAGTTGTTCAACCATCAGTGCTGTTGCAAGTTGTTAACATGATTGTCAACAAGTTGCAACAATGTTGATGGTTCAACAACTTGTTAACAATATTGTTCACGGGGTGCAGCACAACATTGTTCGCTCCTGTTTTGAACAACTTGCATCAACATGATGATTTTTACGCGTGTACCAAGTCTGAAACATTTGCAAAATGTCAATTGTAATTGTTACGTTGATTTGACTAAAATAACATGACGTACGTGGAATATTTATTGTCGCCCGCGATGAACTGAGAAAAAGCGCGCGAAAAGGAAGCCATGTTGAACGTTAAAAGTATGTATAAAACTGTAGTCTAAAGAAACGCTAAAAATTAATGTTTTGAACCGGGAAAAGTCAAGTTAGGTTTATGGTTTTAAAGTTTATCAGTGGTTTGGACAAATGTAAGTTAAAAACAGTGTAATTGTAACGTAATGTATTGTATTTATATTTGTAAACATAGTCGTAATTTTCTTTCTATTCTTTATCTTATAGCTTCAGATTATATATATACATATTTTATGCAAATTTCGTGTTTGTATAATTTAATAATAAGAAAACCAAACCATTGTTGTTGTTTGTCTACTGTCGCCTGCGCCATCGGTCCAGTAATTGTAAAAATTTATCTTTTGCCAATTTTAGTTAGTGAAACGACTAGCTCTACATCAACTTTTATAGTATTTCAAGAAAATCTTAATCAAAGACAATAAATTTGAAAACAAAACTATATTTAACAAATATAAAAATTTTCCGTGTTGATATACAGTTATATCAACACGAGTGGAATTGGGAAAACGAGAAATTGTATGGAAACACGACGCCCGAAGGGCGGAGTGTTTTCATACAATTTCGAGTTTTCCCAACTTCCACGAGTGTTGATATAACTATATATCAATACGGAAAAATGTTTTATATTTTTTTTATAATATAGCAATGTCAAAAGCCCGAAGGATAAGAAAAGTTTCTGTGTTTACAAGCGGCGGAAAATTTCCCGTGTTGACATTGAGTTATATCAACACGGCTCTTAGCCAATCAGCGTTCAGAATTTACAAATGCTATATTATAAAAATAAATAAACAGCACCGACATTTGACAGGTATTGAAGTATGTTTTTAGTTCGCTTCATTTTGTATTCATATATTTTTTTTGACAAACAAGTAACAAACAGTGGCGGATACCATATATGGTCTGGAATCCGGACAAACTTCAAATTGTTCATTTGTAAATGTGCTACCAATAAGTATGCTCTATTATAAAACTGTGAGTATTTTGAGGCACGCCATAGCCAATACTCTAGCACCACAAAACCTATTAAAATTGTTTACAAATGTAATCCAGATACATAGTCACAATACAAGATCTGCAATTGGTACGGTGGAAATTATTTTATGCAGTAATCGAATCAGAATTCATTCTCTTAGTAATCGAAAAGTAATCATTCAGTAATCGAAAAGATTTCATTCTCTTAACTTGCAACTAAAACTTGGAATGGTACCCTAACGAAATACGTAACCGACGTAAACATATTTTTAAAACTAAACTAAATACAATACAGAACCAGGTCTTGGAGAGCGACGATGTTTATGTTGATGTCACTACGATAATAAAAAAGATAAAACATATTAGTTAATAAAAATATTTTCCTTGTCCTTTGTATCTCTATTTTGTGTAACAATCAAACAATTAGAATTTTTGTTCATTACTATATTTAAATTCATTATTAATTTTTTTCTATCATAATTAGTAGCGTATATTCGCAATTGACACGAACCCGCCTAGATTAGTTTTAACTACTTGCAGGTTAATAGTGTAGTGTGTAACTAACTTGTTTGTTTTTTAAATTTAATGAATAAATAAATTGAAATTAGATACTTTTTATAAGATAATTAAGCATGTTCGATCAGCGTTGTTGTTTAATCTACAGTTATAAGAGGGTCCTGAAGGGGGGGGGGGTCCCAATCCCATTTCCCACCTGAAATTTTGGCAAAATCCCAGTCCCAGTTGGATTTTTATTAGAAATCCCAGTCCCAGTTATTGAAATCCCAGTCAATAAAAAACTCTTTATTTATCGGTAGAATAAACAGTTTTAAGACCTTTTAAGCAAGTGCCAGACACTTTATGAAATAATAGGGGGGGTGTTCGTGCCAAAGGCACGGAAATTTTTTAAATTTGAATCCCGGAAATGGCATTTGCAGCATTCTGAGACACGCATAATCAGAAAACCCAGAATTGCGGGCGCCAGAGTATGCCTGTTCGCAGGTAGCGCTGTGAATAATATAGTTAACAACAAAAATCATGACCAAAAACGAATCAAAATTGTATTTTAAAATACTCAAAACGCAGAAAAATTGGGAATCGACTCGCATTACCTCAATCCCATTCCCATTTTTGAGGACTTCATTTCCCAGTCCCAGCAACCCAAATCCCATTTTCCCAGTCTAAAAATAGATCAATCCCAGTTCCCATTTTACCCTTTCAGGACCCTCTTATAAGTCAGAAGAGCTGCCTATATAAGGAATTCTACACAGAACAAAACAGATTGTATAAAATGCGCATGTTGTGGCATTATTGGCATATGTACAGATCATATATTGCTTGCTCTATTCGGCTAACTTTAGCTTAAGTTTTATTTAACAGTCATCATTTAATATGACAATTACATTATATGGGTGATTGGGTGTGATTGCATGCTTGCCACTTGCTGGTATCAGACTGGGGGGCAGTCCCCCCCCCCTCTTAGTGTCCGCCACTGCTGATAACAAAAACAGAAATTTTCGAAAAGTATCTAAAAAATCTGTGGCTGCTATGACAGATTTAAAAAATCGTTTGTCTAATCGGCCAATCAGCGCTCAGTCCAGATTCTGGACTAAATAACCAGGCAAAATGCCGCTTTTGTGTCAGGCCGTACTTTTCTCCCCTTCGCCCGCGATCAGGCGTGCCTGTGCCCTACTCGGGTTAGGGTTAGGGGTTAGAGTAGGGGTAGGGTTTGGGTTAGTTACATAGCCATTTAACACCATAACACCTCTTCTATCTTGCGAAAATGACGTCAGGTCAGTTTGCTGGATGGAAAATAGTGCTAACCCCATTGAACTAGAAATAAACTGGAAGGCTAACTCGGGGGGAAATTGAAGCCAGTGCATTTTAGTTTTTCTGAGTTAGGAGCAGAAATACTCAACACTGAACGTTGGGCTATATATCAAATTGAAGCTATTGAAAAACGCTATTTGGTGTAGAAATTTCAAAACTTTAGCTAAAAGGGAAGTATTAAAAAACTACAAACATAATTACCGATAATTTGCCGTTTTGCAGTTGTTTTTGTATTTTTTAAATATTTTTCTTTTCGCTGAAGTCTTGAAATTTCCATACCAAATAGCAATTTTCAATAGCTTCAATTTGATATATAGCCCGACGTTTGGGGTCAAGTATTTCTGCTCATAACTCAGAAAAACTATTTTGGCTTCATCAAATCATAGGCCTTCATCATAGCAGTTAGCCTTCCAGTTTATTTATAGTTCAATGGCTTAACCCTCGTTTCCCAGGCTATTCCCTCGAATATTGTAATAGGATACCAATGGATATCTCAGGATACTGCCATGATACTGCCGTCCAAGAAAATGGCGGCCTTTTGATGCAGACCTCGTGGAAAAAATGCGAATTTTCATGGCAGAATTTCGGACGCTTCTTAAATAGTTAGGTACATGAAAGTTTTTACAAAACTTAAGTACATTTCTTTGAATAGTTGTAAATGGTTTTTTAAACAAATTTTATCAACCGGTGTTTGGAAATAGCGATATTAAATTCGGGGGAGGTGTATAATACTATAATCATTGATTTATATAATCCTACTTAATTTCTATGGGCAGGGTATAAAAAAAATCAAATTTCCATGGAAAAAGGCATGTTTTCTTGGGGGCTAACATGCATTTGCAGGGAGGTAACTGGGATAAATATGAATTTGCAGTAAAAGAACGATA